CCCCACCCCGCCTGCGCTCCTCCCACTCCCGCTGCTTCCCCCCCCACACCGTGCGCCCGGCCGGCCTACCCCCGCGGCGCCCCCATCCCCGGCGCCCGGCGCTCGCCACCGACCCGGCATGGGCTCTTCCAGGCCATCGCGTGCTTGATGGACATGAACGCGCTGCTGGACCGATTCCACAACTACATCCTCCCGCACCTGCGGGGCGAGGACCGCGTATGCCACTGCAACTGCGGCCGGTGAGTCCGCGCCCGCCCGCGGGCACGATACGCGCGACCGTACAGGTGCGGGCAGCCCGCTGGGGTGCGGGGAGGTCCTTGCCCACGCAGCCAGGCCCACTCCGGAGGCCCACGCAGGCCGCGCGGGGCCGGGGAGGCGCGGGGCCGGGGCCTAGGGGTGTTGAGGGAGCAGGGGCAGGGGCAGGCCGGCTGAGCTGGAGCGGGGTGGGGCTGCTGGAGTCAGCCCAGGGGCTGAGCCAGACATTCCGGCCAGAGCAGCCCCCTAGCGCCGCTGGGGGAAGGCCGCCCCCGCGGGTACTAGGCCCCTCTGGCCCGGCCTCCTAGCCCAGCCCGGCGTCGGGGCCTGCGCACAGGCAGTGCACGCCGGCCGCACGCCTCGCGACTCCCTCAGTACCCTGTGCACACGGACTTCTGTGAGCCCAAGTGCCTGGAGGTGCAGAAGGTCAAGGTGGGAAGGGCCAGACTCCCTCATTGTACAGAGGAGGAAACTGAGGCAGGGGTGGAGCTTGCTCAAGGTCACTGGAGAGTGGGGGAGGCTTGATCCTGTGCTCATGTGGTGACGGGTTTCCCTCGGCCATGCATGTTTGTACGTCCGTGTACGAAATAAACATCTTCTCACCAGACGCGCATGTGTGTACCGTCTGTGCATATACATGTGCGTCCACACAGCGCACGCGCACGCAGGCCGCACACCCTCGCTCCCACGCGGTGACCACTGCCATCCCCCTAACACATGCGAATATATACTTGTCAGAGGACAGAGACCCGCTGCCCAAGGTCACTCAGCCAGTGGTGGAGGGTGCAAGCCCACGTGCACACGAGCTGGGTGGAAGGGATGAAGATTGCATGCCTGCTCAGCTCGCTACGCACCTGTGGGTGGACAGGTGTGCGGAAAAGTCACAGATCTGAAAGCAGCTGCAGAAGGGGTGCTCGGGTGATCCAGAACCCCAAGAGGAAGTGCCTGGATGGCTACACTTGTAGAACCCGGGGCTCCCACAGGGCATACAGTTCCCATGGCTTGTCCTACATCAAAGGAACATTGAGGCGGCGTTGGTTCCACAGCTTCCTGGGGCCACAGATCAGGTGCGATGTAAGCTAGAACGATCCCAAAAAGCTCCCAGGAGGCTATGCACGTGCAGGGCACCCAGACGAGGCTCAACTCCACCAGCCCACCTACCCCACATACTGACCTGGGTGTGGAAACTGCTCTGTGACGTGACGAATGAGTCCCTGCCCCTGAGCACACACTGGCACACATCCTGCAGGACCTGTGGGTGCAGACAGGCATGTCCTTCGGAGGTGCTGGCACAGGGTGTGCACCTGCTCTAGTATAGTGTTCAGAGAACAAGGTGTAACAGGTGCCAGTGCGGGAAGCAAACACAGGCAAGGGGTGTGCTCGTGTGCAGACGAGAACCCGTGCACACGGAAAGTGTGGCGATCCACACCAGAGCCTGGAGTCACGTTCCGACGCGCGTGTGTGTACATGTATATGCTTTGTGCGCATCTCTACATACAGATCATGTCAATTGCGTGTTCTGACTACTATTGTATATTGATAACATATATGTGTATGCAGAGTACACGTATATAAGCCAATATACAGCAGGAAGCGTGCCCCGGGCCATGCCGATATTCAGCCACATGGGTGCGATCGATGTGTGCTCCCGATACGATCTTGTCCACGGGTTTCTGTGGGCAAAGTCAACGCACACAGAATGCCACGGTGGATTCCATCCATGTGTGTATGGAGTGACTGCATACATGTGTATCCTTGCACGTGCCTGTCAGACGTTTACACAAGGATACGTGTGCAGATGCGCGTGACTGAGACCATGTGTGAACGAGGCCGTACCCGTTGGAGTGAGTGCATGCATGTTGCCAAGGCTGTGTGGGGGCGATGGCTGCGTCCACGTGGAACCCACATGACTGCGTGTGGTACGCACTGTGCTCATGTCCGCAGCTGGTGTGTGCAGTGCATGGGCGTCCTGTGCATGTGGCACACGTGTAGAAGATGGAATCGGGCCTCTTGTAGGCAGACAGAGCATGTGAGGTACAGGGAGACATGTATGTACGTGGCCCAGACATACGTGTGCAGGAAGCACCCTTTTGAGATTGACTCTTGCTTTCATTGGGGGCCTTGGCTCTAAGGGCCGTGGGAGGAGGAAGGGGGTCAGGGGGTGAGCTGCAGGTGCTGGCCGAAGGAGGTGCAGGTATGACCTCTTGACTCCCTGGAGTTCCTGAACTGAGGTGGATGGCCTCGCCATCCTTGCAGGGCCAGGGGGATGATGGTTTCAGACTTCCTCAGTGCCTCCATTTCTAAGTTGTCTGCTCAGCCAGCCAAATGCTGGACAGGACACAGGGGGGGCCCCCCACCCCCGAGGAAGGCCTTCCAAGGTCCAGGCAGAGAAGGCTGGGAGGCAGGAAGTGACGGTGACACTCAGCCGCTGGCTGTCAGCCCCCTGAGGACTCAGTGCTGAAGAGCCAGGCAGGTCACGTGGCCTGAGCATGGTCAGTAGTTTTCCACCAATCATTGATGACTGACGATCTATTGACCAGCTTGTGGTCAGGTGAGTGTGGTTGCAGGAGTCACCATGGCCAATGGCCAGTCCAACTCAGGGGCCATGGTAGCATCACTCACCCATCTACCACCCTCCCAGACACTCTTGAGTGGTTGACCACCTGAACTCCAGCCAGAAGAGGAAGCTGGGGACTGGGAGCCAGAGGTCTGGTCTGCTTCCCAGGCCTGCTTCTAGCAGGTGGTCTCCTCTCTTAACCTCACAAGCCTGGCCCACAGCCCCCTTGTCCCAATTGGGCAGGGCTTGGTCCTCCCGGAGCCCCTGACCTCTTGGGGAGGAGGTGCTTGTATGGTCCCCTCAGGCACAGAGACATCAGAGAGGGCACTGTCAGGCCCAGGGGTCAAGGAATCAGATGGCGTTGGTCCTCACTGGATGGGGGTTTAGGGAACAAAAGCACTGTAAGAGGGTCTCTCCTGCGGCCGACGTGGAACCGCCATTTACTTGAAGGAAGATTCCAGAGAAGCAGGATTGGGAGGGAGGAGCTATTTTTAGGAGTGAGTTGGAGTTTGTGAAACCCCCCTCCATACGGAGACAGCAGTAGCGCTCAGGCAGAGGCAGCCGTGGGAGTAGGGGCCTGGTGGAAGGAGAGGTGGACGGGCAAGGCATAGAAAGAGGGGGCAAGGGGCCTTGGTCAGGAGTGGCCAGCAAACAGGTCATCAGGAAGAGGGAACTAAAGGGCACCGAAGGTGATTGTCTCTGAGCCCCAACCTCAGCCACCGTCCTGGGGCTCTTGTGAGTGGACTCGAGGGCCCTAGGACATCCTGGAGGAGGTGGCATCTGGCCCAGACCAAGTAGGCAGCCAGTGGCCCAGGAGAGGCCAGGCAAGGGGTTCTGAGGCCTCTAAGGACATGGGTGTCTGGGAAGCCTTGCCCATGGACCAGGTCAGTGGTCAGCCAGAGCCACAACTGATGCCAAGAGACAGCAGAGAGGAAGGGGGGCAGCGGAGTCCCTCAGGGTGAGTGCCACCCTCCTCTCTTGCAGAAGGGGGACCAGGGCCCATGGTTGAGCCGCCAAGCTGGGACCTGCCCTCTTGGGTGGCTGTCACACCTGGGCCCAGGTGCCCACGAGCACTAGACTCGGGCTTGGCAGGGCCCCGGGACACAGTGCAAGGCGGGCCAAGGCGGAGTGTCCCCACCCACGGCAGACATGGCCCCTCGGGAGCTGGCAGGGGGCAGGAGAGGTGCCAGCCCACCTGCCGCCCCCAGGCACCACGTGCACTACGTGATCCCGTACGATGGGGACCAGTCGGTGGTGGACGCCGCGGAGAACTACTTTGTGACGGACAATGTGACCAAGCAGGAGATCGACCTCATGCTGGGGCTGCTGCTCGGCTTCTGCATCAGCTGGTTCCTCGTGTGGGTGGACGGTGTCCTGCACTGCGCCGTGCGTGCCTGGAGGGCCGGCCGGCGCTACGGTGAGTGCCACTGTCACCAACTGGGCCCACATGCGCACCAGCCCTGCCCATACCCACCGGGCTCAGGGCCAGCCTTCCCACCCACGGCGCCCATCCACATATGTTCCCCAGCCCACCTGGCCCCTTCCAGAGCCCAGCTGACATCCCGGCTCAGCCCTCTGGCCTCCATCCTACAGTAGCCACCCGGCCTCTCACCCATGGCCAGTTCTCTCCAGCCCCTATCCTGTCCCTGTTTGGCTACCAGGCCACCCAGACCTACACCCTGTTCCCACAGACGGTTCGTGGACCTGGCTGCCCAAGTTCTGTAGCCTGAGGGAGTTTGGCCGGCGGCCGCACAGGCCCTACGAGGAGGCTGCGGGGAACATGGTGCACGTGAAGCAGAAACTCTATCACAATGGCCACCCCAGCCCACGGCACCTTTGAGCCACCTGCAGGACTTGCCAGGGCACACTCAGCTGCTGGCCACTGTACAGATGTGACAAGGACCTTTGCAGCACCATGGCCAGGCAGGACTGGACAGCGGCCTTGGGCCACGGTGGCCGGCCTCAGGCAGCAGAGCCTGGGCGGTCGGGCATCTCCAGCAGAAGGTGCTGACTCCTTTTCTTTTTATAAAGGGGGCTTAGGGTGGGGGCCGGTCGGGGAGGCCACCAGGTCTGGGGGCAGGACCCCAGTCTCCCGGCTGGGTGGGACACTAGGGCAGACCAGGGGCATGCAGGGTCATGTGACTCTGCCCCAAAGGTGCTGGGGGCTGGGGGGGGTGGGCCCCGAGTGGGGAGGTGGGGGGAGCCCGGCTGGTCACCTGGGCTGATAGTTAGGACCTCTTGCCCAGGGTGGGGTCCTGTCTGCACCTGGTCTGGGATAATGTGTTATATAAAACCGGCCTGTGTCTTGTGTTTCCTGTGCATTGTGTCAGTCTGTCTGTCCACCTGGGGTCTTTTGTTTGCGAGCTCAGAACCAGTCTTGGTATTGGGGAGTGAGGCTGGGGAAAGCTCAGGAGAGGCTCTGGTGAGCCAAGAATCCCATCATCGGCACAAGCATGGGGTGCTGCTGACCTCAAGTGAGGGAGCTGGGGCCGCAGGCTGGGCCACCCCAGGCCCAGCAGCAATAAGGCCCCTGGTCAACTACTGCACGAGCAGCCCTCTGCCCAGGGTCCATGGGGGCAGCTCACTGTGATGCCCACTGCAGCTGCAGTCAGTAAATTATCCAGAAAGCTCCCGCCTCCGCCTCTTCTTTCACCTCTGACCCCATAGGGTTGCTGAAGGTCCCCCAGCCCATCCCGCCTATAGTCAATCAAGGACACAAAAGCTGAGGCTCTGAGTCACTTTTTATTAGATTCTGGAGAGGCAGACCCCAGCTCCAATCCTGGGCCATGGCCACTCCAGGCCTGCTGGGGCAAGACCAGCACCAAGTAACCCAGCGACATGGCGTGGCTCCCAGGAGCCACCACTGCCACTGCACAGGCTGGGCCACCAGGCCAAGCCCCCACCTCGGTCTGGGGTCTGGTCCCCAGGAAGCCCTGCCACAGATGACTGGTCTAAAGACAGAGCCCTCCTCTCCTGCACAGACTGCATCCTTGGGGTTCCTTCTCGTGACCCTGCTGAGGTGGTGGGTGCTGTGCCTTCAACTTGACGCCCCAGGTGAGGCACATAAGGAGGGCACAGGTGGGCCAAGAACACTGGGAGGCCTGAGGTCATGCCCCACCCAGGAGGAGGACCTCAGCCTGGCTTGGCACCCTGCTCTAGGGATCCCTCAGAAGTGACGCCAGTAATTGATCTTGTGCCCGGAAGCCTTTAATGTGGCCCTAGCCTGACTGAAAGGTTAAAAATGTCAGAGGGGGCCCTGTGCAGCCTCCCCTCCCACCCAGACTCGCAGCTTGGTGATCCTCTTGTGTCTGTCCACCCAATGCCCTCTTGGCCCTATGAGAACTGGGGCACGCCATCGACGGGGACGTCGGCCCGAAGCCACTGCATCTTCTGCTGATGCTGCTGAATGGCATCATTGACGCGGGCATCCATCATGGCCTCGGTGAGGACGCCATCCTCCGATGAGTACGCCATGGCCTGTGGAAGATGGAGGCTGAAGGGGTCTGGCTAGGGGAAGAACTCAGGTGGCCCCAACCCTCCAATGCCACAGAGCACACACCTAGTCAGTCAGGAAACAGCATCCTGACCTGTGAGCTCTGTCAGGGTGAAGCCCAGAGCTGGTGGCCTCCCCTCCCCCTCCCAGCCTGCGAGGCTCCCGGAGCGGCCGCTTGAGTGACTTTTCCAGACCAGGTGCGCTACCACCAGGGGGCGCCCCAGACCAGAAGAGCCTGACCAGACTCACAGACCTGGGGACCTTGTGCCTGTGGTGGGGCTCAAGTGAGGGCAGCACAGGTCACCCCTGGCCCTGCCCCCAGGAAAAGGCCACTCCCTGACCAGAGGAGATGAAGTCTGAGAGGAGGTGCTGATGTTCCTCCCCAGACCTGCCATCCTAGGCTCGTCGTGGGCAAAGCACCACAGGCCCAAGTAAAGTGCACTGCACACAACACCCAGCAGCTCTGACATGGGGCCAAAGGACAGGGAACTGGGGAGGAGGACTCCTGCATTCTGCCTGAAATATACCCGTGGACCCCAAATCACAGATAGAAACTTTTAAGATATGGTGGTAAATCCTCAAACCAGAGGCTCCAGGGCATTGGGAAGGACTCAAACCAGCAAGGTAACAAGAGGGGCCACTGCAGGGATCCACTGCCACCACGGTGCCCTCAAGGACCAGTGCATGGCTACCTCCCAGGGAGGGGACAGAGCAAGTAGGGCCTTGTGCCTGAGGACGGACCAGGAGGAAGAGAGCAGCAGCTAGGTCTCTAGCTTTCCCTTCGCTTGGGATCGGCACATTCCAGGCTAGTGCTAGGCCTGGACACTCCCTACCTGGAATTTCTCACCTGCTGCAGCAGGCCTGACACCCAGGGTCAGAGCACATCCTGGGATCCGAACTGGAACACACAGGAACCTCCAGCTCTGCCCGTCAGGTACACAGACACCATTACCTGCTTTGTCAGGTGTCAGAACAATGAGAACCCCTCAGCTGGGCTGAGCAGGGCTGAAGTTCGGGTCTGGGGCTGTCTGTCAGAGTAATGTGAGGTCATCCTGTCTCCTCTATCCACATAGTTCACACTCGTTCACCCCAAGGCTTGTTAAGTGGCTAGGTGGTCACGTGACATGAGCAAGCTCCTGGAGGTGGGACAGGGTGGAGCCGCACCCTGTGACTCACCTGCGTAGATCACAGCATGCACTCTCCAGGCAGTTCCCCCCAGAGCCCAGGTACCCCAGATGGTACACAGTGCTCATTAGGGGTGCTGACTCCCTGCCCAGGGCAGCTACGAAGCTGCTTCTGGGAGTTTCAGAAAGGAAATAGGGTGCTGAGGGGTTCTTGCCTAGAGCCCTGCCCAATGCCCTAGAAGCTGCACACCAGGTGGGTTTACAGAGCCAGGGCGGCCTGGACAGCGAGGGTAGCCTGGACAGCGAGGCCCTCGGGCACACCTAGAGGCCCTTGCCAGCCAGCACTCCTGCTGGACGGAACGGACTTCCTAGTCCCGTCCACATCTACGGAAACAGGGCACGTCCACAACAAGGCTCCAGGTGGACCAGGACTTCTCCCTTGTCCCAGCTGTATCTGGAGACCCTCACTTTCCCTATCTGGGGACATTTGGTGTGGAGTCACCTGGACTGTAGTTGTGACACCACTCTCTTCCCAGAGAACAGCATTTAATATAGTTGGGCGTCAAGATCTGCATCGCCCTCACTCTTCTCATGGTCACCTGTGACCCCGATTCCTGGTGGGATCAGGGCAGTCCAGCCTGTCTGTGTGCAGCCACACCATGGCGCACATCTCTGCACAAACCGAGGCTCTTGTTCTGGGCCCTGGGTAGTTCCCAGACAGCAGCACGCGCCCACCTCACCTGCCAGGCCACGGCCAGCTGGGCGATCTCCCGGCCCGACATGCCCTCTGTCAGCTGGGCGATCTCCGAGCACTTCTTGCTGTAGTCAAACTGGGCCAACTTAAGGCGTCTGGGGAGACAAGTTCCCAGGCTGGCTGTGGGTGGTGCTGTGCAGAGGGGCTCCCTGAGGGCTGGGGAGCAGGGTCAAGAACACTGCATCCTCAGAGCCAGGGCATCCCGGCAACCCCCCTCCACACTGCCAGTCATTGGACACCTTCCATCTGCAGCCCAGGTGAGGACATGGTAGGTGAAGCCCCCTGAGTGGCCTGCAGAAGTGTCCAAGCCCTGAGAAATGTTCCCATGGCAACCACTGTCCATCCCCACAGAACAAAGGCTCCTGGGTCCACCACAGTCTAGCCACCTCCACACCTTCCAGCCTCCAATAAAATCTAACAAGCAGGAAACTGAGCAAAGAAAAGTAAATTTCTCAACTAACTATGCACTGATCCTCTTAGGCACCACACTGCATGGAACTCCCTTCCAAGCCACCGAGGATTCTAGAATGCTGTGTTACTGAAGCCAGGGAGCACCAGGTGCTACTGGGAGTGGATGCAGGGCAGAGGCGGCTCATGTGAGGGAGGTCTGTGGAGTCAGAGGGGCAGCCCCCATGAAGACACAAGAGTTCCGCTCTGTGATGTGACATGATGGCAGAAAGGTGGCCAGAGGGATCTAGGTCAGGGCCTGGAAGACCTGCTGGCTCTGCATGACTGAGGCCTCGTCCTCGTGGGACAATCAGAAATAGACTACACGCTGATCTGGGGCATTCGTGATGTAGCGTGGGACACAGGGTAGCTCGGATGGCAAGCTGGGGGCCCCCAGCCACGGCAGGCACTGGCAACCAACACTGGTCCACTCAGCCCACTATCCATTCGCTGTGCTGGTCTCCTCTCACTGGGCCAGGGTCTGTGCAAGGTGGCATGGGGATCAAGAGAAGATCCTGGCTGTATGCACTGGTGAGGGGCAGGGTGGGGCCTTGCCATGGCACTTCAAGTCCACACAGTTGGAAGCCCACTGGGGCTCAGGCCCTTGGAGTATGTGGCCTGCAGCTGGCTGGGCTGCCCAGCTCACAAGAGCAATGACCAAAGTTCAGCTTTCACAGCCAACCTGAGGCCCGATGAATGCCCAGCAGCTGGCCTCAAACTCAGCACAGCCCATAGCCTCCTGAGGCTGCTCCCCAGCTACCTGACATGAGGCCTAACCTGTTCCCTAAATTTCCCAAGGATGACTGCACACTCCCCATAATGGAGTGTTCGAGATGTACGTTTGTACAAATGATGTCCAGCAGCCACCTGCCAGGGTGTTCTGTGGTGAGGAACCCTCTTGGGGTTCAAACAGGAGCAGGAGACAATGACACTCGGCCAAGAATGCCAAGTACAGGTACAAACATAAACTCTTGCATGAGGACACAGTGCACTGGGCAGGTGTGACCACCTCACATGGTAGGGCTACAGGTGGTGCCTAAGGGACAGTGTCCACCGAGGACAAGCAGAGAAGAGGCCAGAGGCCAGGCGGGCGGCGCAGACTCACTGCTTCCCCTCCGTGGCTGGCTTGAGGATGTGCTTGTCGAAGTACAGCCTCACCAGGCGCTCCCGCTCCTCCAGCTGCGGCA